TCGTTTCAAACGGTTCTAATCGTGAAAATAAAAGCAATACTCCGTCATGTTGCCATACCGACTTAACAATGTGGTGGTATCCGCGGTAAGATTTTTGAGATATGACGCCAAAAGTATACGTCCTCGAAATTTACAGTACTACTAACCAACTCTACGACACGAACAAAAAGGTCTTCACAGTTTTCCTCGACACTCATAACAATCTAACAGTAAGCTACCATCCCGCATTTCGATTCTAATGTCTACCTATGGAAGTGATCGAGAGGTGGTTAGTCAAAGGGTTTTCGTTTACCTATATAAGTGATAGGGTAAAAACAACAATCATGAGTTTACCGTTCTATTACAAAGCTTATTTCTAAGCTTCCACGATCCTAAGGCTCAAGCGAAGTAGTTCATTGATCCTAGGAGGATTTAATGATTGCTTTTCGGATTTCTACAACTCCCAGGATATGACAACTTACATTCGCAAGCCTATTCTCACCCATTTAATAAGTATAACTACGAAAGCAAAAATTTGGAATAGCGTTGATTGAAAAATCTCAATGCTAGAAAAAGACCTTGCCTAAGATCTACTTTCAAAAAGACTTCATCGACAGTCGATCTTCCTCCTAAAGATCCAACATGAACCCAAGTATGCTTGAAGATATTAGTGCTAATAGGGACCGAACAATAATTATCCCTCAGATGATCTTCCGCGAAATGTTACTAAGAAATTAAGACTAACTAAGATTTCCATTCTTTAAAGAATCAATACTAACGGCGGTAGGAAAATGATAGAATTATTTGGTAATATCTCTGGCGATACATAATTATCAAAACATTTACTTAGGCCATCAACTTGCCTCACTTTTATACCTTTCCTCCACGAGGAAAATCTTCGTTTCAATTCTAAGGACAACCGCCAAAATGATTTTATAAAATGTCGTCAAGACCACAAAATTGTCCAAAACTGAAGAAAAGTTAACATATTTTTCCATATTCGACGAGGCGATAAAGTTCGAACGTCAAACACAAAAACCAAGAGTGCTCACATCACGCGTGTGATGAACACAATACTGCCCAACATATGCTCTGATACCAAACTGACACACCCCGACCCAGAAAGTCCACTTGGACCCTGAATCGAGCTGTGCTGGCCGACACCTGGAAGGTGACGAAGCCATAAAATGTGATAGTGCATAAAAAGTGATTAAATTTGAAACTAAAAGTGTCTAAATACCAGAGTGCGCTACGAGTGGGAGCGAACCCATTTCACGCGCGATGTCAGAGCATAAGTAAGGTACAGTAATGTGAGTAAGAATCATACCCTCAAAAATATCCATCAATACTAAGATTCGCCACAGATTTTTGTCGATACAAACTCAGCAGCTAAAACCTGGAGGGCACCAAAGAGAAGGTGTGAGTAAGCAATAAAACCAAGCTTCCCAAAGTTACTACCTCTCTAAAAGTAATGCCCCTAAATGTACAACCCGTATCGTTTTCCGTAAGACAGTACAACATATATACATATATCCAAACCATACTCGAAAATGACCAAAACCACGGTTCGCCATCAACTCCACCATACATCAATAAGTAGGCCAAATGAACTAAATCAATACAAAATGATATATCAATCAGAGTCAGCTAAAATGACATGTACAACTTATCTGTATCTCATCAATCATGGCTAGTATATAAGTCGGAGTCGCCTATAGTGACCTGTACGACTTGTCCACATCTCGTCAATCCTGGCTAGCATATAAGTCGGAGTCACCTATAGTGACCTGTACGACTTATCCACATCTCGTCAATCTTGGCTAGCATGTAAGTCGGAGTCACCTATAGTGACCTGTACGACTTATCCATATCTCATCAATCATGGCTAGTATATAAGTCGGAGTCACCTATAGTGACCTATACGACTTATCCATATCTCATCAATCCTGGCTAGCATATAAGTCGGAGTCACCTATAGTGACCTGTACGACTTATCCACATCTCGTCAATCTTGGCTAGCATGTAAGTCGGAGTCGCCTATAGTGACCTGTACGACTTATCCACATCTCGTCAATCCTGGCTAGCATATAAGTCGGAGTCACCTATAGTGACCTGTACGACTTATCCACATCTCGTCAATCTTGGCTAGCATGTAAGTCGGAGTCACCTATAGTGACCTGTACGACTTATCCACATCTCGTCAATCCTGGCTAGCATATAAGTCGGAGTCACCTATAGTGACCTATACGACTTATCCATATCTCATCATAACATGTGCAACACATGGCAACCAGTACGACAGTATCGAAGTTGCCTAACTCATAACTGTAGTCATGCTATAACTCAATCGATTCAATTAATACCATAAACTCACCTGAACTTACCTGGGTGTCCTGAGTTCACCTTTGCACTTGAAAGCATTCCCAATAATTATAAGCAAGTAATATACATATGGATATATCATGATGCAATCTACTACTCAACCATGTCGTAGCATTTTCAATTATAAACAATATGGTGTGAAGTGTACAATCAATAACGCCATACTCCCAAACTACTTATTTTCAGGGATAATTATCCATAACAATCCAATTAACTCTAATTTAACTAACTAATTCACAAAACTAAAACTTGTCTTTACCAATTTCCTTCGCATTACTCAATTTCCCAAGCAAGGCTTTTGTCTCAAATATTTTATGGCTGCATCTAACGTCTCGTTAGACTGCCTACGTACCCTAAACAGGGATCAAGCCATTCGTAGTTCACATTGTACGTCAAGCATTCACAATAATTATATATGAAAGTAATATGCCTAATCAATTTAAAGGTGTCGATAGAACTCTCAATAATATGCACAATAAAAGGAAAAGATCCACTCACCTGGAGTCCACGCTATACTACTCTAGCACGCGCATCGAGGCGTCCTGAATGATCGGTCCCTGTGGCCAATTATCAAATCACATCTCAGAACTCTTATCTGAAGAATATGCAATTCACATAAAACACAACCTCGACGACTTTCTAAAATAGGTTGAGACCTATTGACCACAAGTCAACCGTCGATCAAAGATCGACGGTAGGGTTTACAACCCTGTATAACCTGACCCGGAAGATCCGCATATCAGATTTCCAATCTGCAACTTCCAATGATCCACAATATGTTTCTAGAATAACATCTTAAAATTTCATTACGATCCAACGGTCAGATCTTCGCCAATTGCCTAAAACAAGTGGTCGTGAACATTTATTTTACTAACTTACAAATCCAATTCAGGAAGATCCGTAAGTCGGATTCCCGATCCGTAAATTCCTATGATCTTTAAATATTACGTATTATAATGTATCCAATTTTGGTGACGATCCAACGGTCGGATCATCGATTCACATTTTTATCAAGTAGCGTATTATAACGAATTTAGGTTCCAACGATCAACCTACGTCATTCAAATGACAAAACTGAATTCAAAACATTCGACATAGCCTAAAAATAGCATTGGCGGCTCACCGGCCACGCGCCGCCGCACGCGCCGCCGCGGGTGGCGGTCGGCCGCCCCGACTCGCCGGAAAATCCAACTAATTCCAAAAATTATCAAACTTCACAGAAATGAAGATCTCAGTGAGTGGAGCAACTTTCATACCTGCCACGAAGTCCAAAAGTGGACGGAAGATGGTCAATTTTGCCCATGAAGCCGGCGGGTGCCTAAAACTTCCCGACGTCGATTCGTCGTCTACGGTGGTCCAACGGGGTCAAGGTTGGTTGGGTTTTGCTCCTGGGATGATGGGCTACAAAGCCCAAGTGGTGGCATCGGCCATCGCTTTGCCGATTTGCCGGAAAATGGAGAAGGGTGGCCGGAGCACCATTGATTTTCGTCAACTTTCGTGGCCTCAAACCTCCACATCCCGTGGTCAATCAAGGTGGTTCTTGGGTGGGTTTTGTAGAGGGGAATGAGAGCTTCAAAATGGTGGTGGTGGAATCGAAAAACTCCACCGGAGTTGGCCGGAATCGGCCTTGGAATATGGCCTCGCGGTGGTGCGGGTATGGGTGCACGGGAAGCCTTTTTCCCTTTTTTTTTTTTTTTTTTTTTTTTTTTCTTTTCTTCTTTCTTTCTGATTGGGCTTCCATTAATTTAAATAAACACTCACCTTGAATAACCAATTTCGAACGTCCGTAACTATACCGTTATAATTCGGACTCGCAAACGGTTTTCGCCTATACGTTCGTACCAATGAGTACTACGAGGATATGCTAAAAGAATAAGTCCCACATCTCTCAAGTCAATGGTCAACAGAAGTCAAAGTCCGTGCCTCTAGGGCAATTTCGTAAACTCACGCTTTTAAAATAAATTAAAAATGTAAAATTTGGAACGGGTTGTCACATAAAATTTGACATATTGGGTGAAGAGTAAAATTTAAAAAAAAATGTCAAAGTGCCACACAAGTTGTCAAATTTAAATTTTATGTTCAAATTTGGTATCTTAAAAGTTGATCAAATATGTCACTTAATACTACAGTCCAGTGATAATCCTCTTCGCCTGTAAGTGAGAGGTCTTAGGTTTGATTCTCGCCAAATGTGAATTCAAACCACTAGTCTATTGTGAGTCTAAGTCCACCACTCTCTTTTAGTATAAATAATATCGTTTGTTTTATTAAAAAAAAAATGTTTTATCAAATATTGTTCATTACTACGCTTGTTATTTTGTTAAGTGCAATCCCACTTAAGCTATATCTACTAACTAGTACATGTGGATGCCGATGTTCAAGGAGAGGATGCAAGTTAAAGAATCCATACAAAGTGAGCCAACAGAAGAATAAGATTAGAATTAAGGGCCTAAACAAATAAATTTCATTTAAAAATGGATAATCTTAACCCAAAGAACTTTTTATCCCATTGGGATAATTAACAGCCCTAATTTGGCCTTATTTACGTTATTCAAACCTATCCAAATCTACTTCCACGTGTGGCTCCTTTACACTTTACTGTCAATAGCAATACAAATAGACAATTCGTAAGTCCCTGGTACTATTAATTTCTCAGCTGATCCGCCAATCCTAGTACTCTCAAAACCCCATTTCATTTTCTCAAACACTTTTGACGTACACACGCACACTCAAACCATCTGAGATGAATGATCAAGGGGCTGGGACTAGCCAAGCAGCACAAGATCATGATGATCATGGTGAAGATCAAGAGCAGATCATCAGGGACATCCATGCCTTGACACCGCCTCGTCCACCGCCTCCCGGCAACCTCGGTCGTAGAAGAGAAGCTTGGGAAACTGGTAGCCATAGATCATCATCTTTGTCCATGGCCAGCACTGAGTTAGGAACAGCTTCAACTGAGAACTTCACTACCATGAGTAGAGAATTCAGTGCTCTTGTGGTTGCAGGGTCAGCAATCGGGACTAATAATAGTACCACCAATGATAGTGACCATGGTACTGATAACAATAATTTGGGTAGGATTGGAGAGGAGGAGGACAACAATATGCCTGAGGAGGAGCTGGAGACCAACCCTTTGGCTATAGTCCCGGATAATTACAACCCTGTGGACCCAGTTCCTTATTCTCCAAGGAATAATGAGGCTAATAATCATAGAATTGGCTCTTCATCAAGCATGGTTAGGACTCGGGATTACCAAGGCGGCAGCGGCGGCGATCAGACGGTGTCGGTGCATCGGGTGAAGAAGGAAGAGGTTGAAACAAAGATATCGGCTTGGCAAAACAACAAGATTGCCAAGCTTAATAACAGGTTTAAGAGGGAGGATGCTATTGTTAATGGGTGGGAAAGTGAGCAAGTACAGAAAGCTTCTTCATGGATGAAGAAAGTAGAGGTACGTACGTTGCTAAAAACTGATTTGGATAGTGATATTTTTGTGCATGTTGGAAAATTTGATTTCCCATGATGGTTTCTCTGACTAGTTGAAACTATGAAGATTTACCACTTTCTTTTTTAGTGACTTCATACTATTTACCGTCCAATTATTCTTGAGAATTGGCCTAAAGTGATCAGTTTTTAGTTTCCTCGTCCATGTGTGATCGCTATGGTGTCACTATTTGATTTTGATCTGTTAAGCTTAATTTCTAATCATTTTAGCTGATTTCTCATTATTCTTTGACGATGCAACTAATCCATCACGAAACAATTAATCATTATCGTGATCATCAAATAGCAATAATAACAATAATTATCTTATACCAATATTTGAACTTTGAAGCTTCTGTTTGGTGAAACTATATTGTCTTAATAATATTTTTATCCTTGCCTATGTTTCAATTCACGATAAAACAACTAATCGCAACAAAGTTATAACTTCAATGATAAAGATGTTCATCCTTTTCATAGTCTTATGGCATACGTTGACCTTTGAAGCTTCTTTTAGATGGAACTAACACGTTATTGGGAAGTTGGCCTAACTGATCGTTTTTCATACCCCCCTAGCTGAAATGATTTGATCGATCAATATGTCGTTGATATTTGAATTTGACCAATTCAACTACTGTAATTCAATTCCTAATCATGTTAACCAATTTTCTTACTTTATTCATTTTTGGACGTGTTTCCGCTTTCCTTGAATTTTGGGTAATTTGAAAATGAATACTCATAATATATAGGCCAACTAAATCATCACATAATGTGTGCATGCAGAGAAAGTTGGAGGAGAAAAGAGTAAGAGCCCTAGAGAAGATGCAAAATGATATAGCCAAAGCACGTAGGAAAGCAGAGGAGAGGAAGGCATCGGCTGAGGCTAAAAGGGGAACAAAAGTGGCTAGGGTTCTTGAAGTTGCCAATCTAATGAGAGCTGTTGGAAGAGCACCTGCCAAAAAATCCTTCTTCTAGGCTTCTAGCCCCCTTAATTAATTTTTTATAATATCCCAAACAAATTCATACCCACAAATAAACCCCAAAAAAAACAAAAACAAAAAAAATTATTTGGGCAAATAAGTGCCCCATGATCATATGATGCAAGGGCCTTTACCTTTTGAACAAAGGCTCCCCTATATGAAATGGGGCAGTGAAGTCAGAGAAATCTGGCAACTATGAATTTTGAGTGTTTTTGGTTGATGCGTTCTTATGAGTGTCTTAAGTGTGCTGGAATTTTGGGATGGATTTGCTAGTTCTTGTAGTGGAACAACGTCGAATCTTGTGCAGTTTTCGTATTCTTGGGCAGGAGGTTAAGTGTGATGTTGTAATACATATAATTTCCTACGCCTAATTTTGGTGTATTTTATTTTCCGCCTATGAAATGGAATGATAATTTGCAGTAATTCTGTATTTGCCATGCCTAGTGGTTTGAATTTGCGAGTAAGCAGAGTATTAAAGTGATTGATTATATCAAGAGGTTGAATCTGGCCTAAGCCCTACACGGCACACCCTACCCGCTACAGGTAGGTAGCAAATGACAAACGATCTATGATATGATGAAAAACTCGGTATTCATCTTGTGAAAGTGAAAACTGCTACTTCTTGGAGGCGAACCATCAAAGCAAAGGTAAAACTGCTGGTTCTTGTTTCTTATTTTTTGTCTCAAGATGGGAGCTGGATCAAGACAACACTTCAAGACGCAATCGTCTCGTGCCACTACAAAATTCATGACGATGTTTCCCTCAAAATATTCTTCATATCCAACCATAAGACCGAAAACAAGTGGCAACATCCTCTCCTATTCAACCTAACTCAAACTAATGTAAGCCTGGCAATGAAGAAAGACAGGCCTGAAGGTACCTTCAGACCTAGGACTTTTGGTACCTTCTTACTCTATAATCCTCTGTTACAACAAGGATTTTAGGCGTCCACAGACCAGTGTTGAGTAAAAATAAACAAACAAAAGTTTACTCAGTGCCCGGAATTACGACTTACTTTACAAGCATGAAAGCAGTTCCGTTAATAAAATGCAACACCAGTTTCAAAAGCAAAAGAAAAGATTTTAACAGTAGAAAGCATTTTGTCTTCAGTCCGTGACAACGAACTTGGACCATTTGATATTTTCCAATGTGGTAGCGATGTCCATAGTTTTGAAACTTTGAAAATTATACATCACCAATATCGGACATATTGTCACCTAAACAGTTGCTACAAATAAGGTCTTATTTGTTTAGTACAAAAACGCAAACGCAAACAGGGAAGATCTTTCCCTTCAAATTCGAACAATGGAAATCGCCCAGATTTCTTTCATGTTTAAGATGGGGAGTTTAAGGTTCTAACTTTTAGTTTTGGCTAACAAGGCAAGATAGATGCTACTTCCTATTTGTGTAGTTTGCGTTAAAGCAGATAATATCTCTCACACAGCTCTTTCCATTTCAATCATTTTATTGATTACAAAGTTCGAACTTTCAAACTTTGAATTAGGGATTTTTATCATATACAAACAACAAAGTACGAAAAGACCAAAGTCTAGCACAGGTAAACAAACAGATTTACTTCTTTAATGAGGCCTGAACATTGCTACACACCGGAATCTCTAATTGAATTCAGGTGGCATTTACAGGAAAAAATAGGAGTTCCGTCCAACCGTAAGACAAACTTGTGTGTTTATTTACATAATTCCATCACAGTGTTAAACTTTTACAATCAAGTGAATGATATACCATATGTCAGCTTGTCTTCTCTTACTAATCTAATTCTAAAGTTGTAAAACAGAAAACAAGTTTCAAGAAAAAAGAGGACCACTTACTGAAACAAAAGCTCCTTGACTGATACTCTTCATCTCGATTGACATCTCCATGTAAGAGAAGTGATCAAGTTCCATGGGCTACATGTGCAATGAATTGTACAAATTGTACTTGCAGCAAATCTCAAAGGAAGACGACGCTGATTGTTTCGACGCAGATATCAGATCTCAAATCAGATGGAGATCGCATCTATCATCACTCATTTGTTTATTAAAACCTTCAATAGATTTGAGTTCTGCATAAATTTCAGCACTTTTTGGATGGTCCATATCACTTGCAACAAAATAATGAAATTTATTACCAACGTCAATCCAGCTGCATCCTGCTTCTTTGTTCATTTTCAAGTCATTCATAATGGTTCGAACCTTTGCAGCCTCATCAAACATTCCTCCTCGAGCATACATATTTGAAACAAGTATGTAAGACCCAGCGTCCTCAGGTTGCAAGTCAAGCAAATGTTTTGAGGCTAACATGCCATAATTCAAATTCCCACTTATCATGCACACATTCACTAAAGTTCTCCAAAGCATAGGTGAATCTGGAAATGGACTTCTGTGGATGAAATTGATGGCTTCTGAAAAATTCCCAGACCGACCCAGAAGATCCACCATGCATGCAAAGTGCTCAATTCCTGACTTAGTTCCATATTTTGGCTCCATTTCGTTGAATAAGCGTAACCCAGTTTCCCATAGTCCATTGTAACTGCAAGCTTGAAGAGTAGCCAATAGCGTGAGCTCATCAGGGGCAAACCCTTCTCCCTTCATTGATTCAAAAAGTGAAAGTGCTTTGTTGCCTTCTCCATGAAGGGCATGTGCAGAAATTATGGCGTTCCACGATATGCAATCACGACTATTCATACAATTGAACATTTGATAAGCTTCTTCAATGCTACCACATTTGGCATACATGGTAATTACAGCATTAGATACAGTGGAATTGGCTTCAAATCCAGCTTTAATAGTGCAAGCATGGAGACTCTTCCCCCTTTCTAAGCAAGCTTCTTCAGCTGCTACACTAAGGAGTCGTGAATACGTTATGAAATCTGGATTTACACCAGACGACCTCAACCGACTAAATAAGACCATGGAATCCTCTTCAACATCTCTACGTTGTTCCATGAATCCAACAAGTACTGCATTAAATGAAGCGGTGTTTTTACCTGAAAGGCCATCAAAAACCTGTCTTGCAGATTGAAGGCTCCCACATTTAGCGTATATGTCAATCAACGCAGTCCCAACGTTGACACAAGAGTAAAAATCAAGCTTTATGCAAAATGCATGGATCTGACATCCCAATTCCAGATTTCTGCACTCTGAACAGGCATCAATCACGGTAGATAAACAGCTAGAATCAACACAAATACCTCGATCGAGTATTTTTAAGAAAGCATCGAGGGCCATATCCCCACGTCCATTTTTTACATACATTGACAAAAGCGCGGTCCAAGAAATTAAGTTTCTCTCATCCAGTAAATAAAACATTGCCTCAGCTTCTTCAACCATCCCGTGCTTTCCGTACATGGTTATTACTGCATTTCCAACAGAAGTTTCACCCACAATACCATACTTGACAGCAAGCCCATGTAATTGCAAGCATTCATCCACACCCACGTCTCCATCGCATGCACTAATCAGATTGGTAAAAGTATAATCATTTGGCTCTAAGCCAGAACTCAGAAGATATACAAAGACCCCAATTGCTTTCTCTCCACAGCCCGCCTTCCCATATTCTAAAATCATATAATTTAAACACTGAACATCTTTGTAATCCATGTCATTGAACACTTTCTCTGCATCACCCAAGAAGCCACTTTTAGAGTACATACAAACCAAAGAAGTGGCCACAACAACATTCTCCTGAAGCCCACTTTTTACAACAAAACCATGAACCTGTTCCCCACTTCTCCTGTCTTCAAGTGAACTACACGCCTCCAAAATCACCGAGCACGTATGCTCGTTAAACTTCTCGTCGCTGCAAAACATATCATGTGCAACGTGGAAGACAGATTCAAGGTCACCAATGTCAGAATACCCCTTCATGAGAGAAGTCCAAGTGATTGTGTTTCTAACAGGCATTTCATCGAAAAGGTGATGTGCATCATCCAGTCTTTTGAATTTCGAGTACAAGTTGACAAGATTGTTGCCCTGAAATGTGTCATTCTGGCAGCCACATTTGAGTAAAAATGCATGAATTGCCTGACCCAGAATGAGGATTTTGGACCCAATTGAGAGTTGGAGGAGCAGAAGCCAGTCATTGAAGAGAAGTGTGTATTCTCGTTGTTTGAAGAAGGTTGTACCTTCCAGCCTAGTGTATATATAAGTTGAAATAATCAGATAAAAATGATGCATTACTAAGCAGAAAATTCGAGTAATAACTGTCTTTGGCCATAATCAGACAAACAAATGAGAGTACGTATAACACCTCCATGGTACCCACCACCCGTGGGGGGAAGGACAAATTGTTGAACAAATGAAAATTAAACATTAACTTATCAATGTTCTTTTGAGTTTCATACTCCTAATCATTTCACAGCCAGACATGTGCATATTATTATATAAGAGAGCAACAGGATAAGCAATTGTGGTACAGAAATATTATGGTCTGGATGTTCAAGTGCAGGTCGATTAATGTGCATTATGTATGTAGAATATGTGAGTGTGCAGAGAAATTTCACCTGCACAAGCAGATGCGTATAGTTATAGATTGGCAAATGATGTTTAAACATTTACGGTTATATTTATATATAAATCTATGTATTACATTGTGCAAACTTATGTTGCATCAATACAACTGATAGCTTTTTAAAGAAAAGTACGCTGTAAATATTATCATGCTAGTATCACTTCTGAGTCTACTAGCTTATCACTTTTGATTCTACTTTATGCATTTACATTGAATTTATTAAAAGATGATTAGTTAAAGATGAAAATAAAAGCAGGAAAATTTCTACACACCCCACTCCTTGCATATCAAATCAGCCCCACCTGTTGCCAGTAAGCTCAACAACAGAGCCCATATGTTCTTCTGGCACCTCCACAGCGGCGATCTGCAAGCGATCCAAATGACAGAAATGACTGATACCAGACGAGTGGTATGATCTGTAACTCATAACAATATTTGCCTCAAGAAAAGAAAAGTAAGTATTTGGCAATGCTGTTTCTATATTTGTAAAATTGATATTTGCCTCAAGAAAAGAAAAGAAAGTATTTGGCAACACCGTCTCTATATATGTAAATTTGTACAAACCACGGCATCACAGTTTTTATGAATTAAGCGCTGCATTATTATTATTTTTAAGTACTATGACAACGTGCTGATTTGGATTCCAATCGTTCAAAATGGAGCAGACGTATTGGTCTTCAACCGGTGACAGTAATTATTTCTACCCTTCACTGTCTTCCTAAACATCAGAAACAATAAAAGTTCAACACAATCACCTCATATGGTTATAAAGGCCCCTCTGAATAGGGATCCTTTCTGAAACTAAAAGGGTGCATCGTTGGTGCCAAATTGCAAAATGGTCTGGGTATCTGAACTATCTAAACTTTGGACTCCCATCTATGAATAATCCCTGGAAACAAAAAGTTGAAAATTGCTTGGTATTTGAATTATCATCATCTATATTTCAGTTCTTCACAGATAGACTGTGTTCATTATTTATTTAATC